AAGAATATATCGTTATTATACGCGCATATCCAATAGAATATTGAAACATTTCAAAATTTCCTACTAACCCTTAAAAATAATAGTTTGTAACTAGCCATTACTAGTTTAACTATTTTTAGAATTCTCTGATCTTTTTCATTTTCATGTGAATATATATATCTTTTAACTCGTCTTGATAATTAATTCATTAATGCTAGTAATAATAATAGCATCCATAACTACAAAGTCGAGTTAGCTTTTGGACGGATTTGTATTAGCGGAGCTATTGCTTTTCCCATGGTTTTTATGTGTTAGAGCGGCAAAATACGCAATCCTTTGGAGCGTCTACCTGACAACCATCATTATGAGCTACCATGGTTCTCTTTTTCATTCTTTCATGTTCTTTTACTGCTATTCTCGATATATATATATATATATATAATCTTGTTATAACGACATTTTTTTTAATACCAAATTTATGAGTATAAAGTTTACTCCGTTATAATGACGCTCATTATTTATATTAGAGTACAATGACATAATTTGTCAAAAAATTTTTATAATAATCAGGGCTGGTCGCGTAACTCAAAATGAGAACTTGGCTTCAAGACAATTATTACCAAATTAGGATTTTAAAATCGATCGATCTTGGTTGTAGATTAATTTTGATCTATTAATCGTTGATTAATATGGCTAATTAATTAGACAATGCATGAAGCGTCCATATTGTAATTTTGAAAAAAGTAATCAACCACCGCATAACTCAAAGATTTCGAAATCGGTGATTAGTAGAACCAAAAAAATGCTAAAAATAGAATTTTAGAAAGAATAAAAGTAAGTTATAAAATCACATATAATGATTTTCTGTTATAATGACATTCTCGTTATACCAACATTTTTTACTTGCACATAAAGTGTCATTATAACGGGAGTTACTGTAGTACATTCTCCAAAATCTTTTTGTTTGGTTATTTTATCGCTTCATGTGCTTGTTTGGTCATTTGGCTAACCTTCTTTCTCTTTCTTAATCTTTTTTTTATTATCACAGCCGGTTCATCATAGATCTTGTCGAGTTCTCGAATATATTATTCTTCATTTATAGAACTGTTCAATATCTTATTCTTCAGCGTGCTTATTATTTGTGTCGTTTAATTGGCAAAATTATATATATGCATATGGTTAGAATATATATATATATATATTTTCAAAATAATCTTCACCATTTTCTCCTTAGTCATCATCCATCCCCGTCATCTATCCATAGATATTCTTTAGATCGCGTTGTTCAACTTGATTCTCAACGTAGATGCTCTGATCCTTTCGCATTTCAGGGTCTCCGCGGTATGGAACAACGATGTATAGTCTCCTGCCGACAACTGATTGTACATTTAAGTCAATATTGACTTTAATAAAATTATTATTAATTATTATATTTTTTTTTTTTTTTTGAACGAATCTTTATCGTCTTTCGATTATTATTTGAATATTTTACATAATACGTTTCCATGCAATCATTTTTAAACTTATTAGGGTGTAAATAATATTTATTTCGTCCACCATGGATGTTTTCAAACGGAAGATAAATCAAGTCTGTTAGATTTTGATCATTTCGATTGGTCTAAAATACCAAGGTAAGCTAAAACCCTAACGAACGGTTAATTCCACGTAAAGACATTCATTGTTGTATAGTTAAATATTCATGTAGGGGTAAAATCCATTAATGTGTCGCTATCATAGAAACATCCGATGAGGCCAGATTTTAATCGATGTAGGATTTGAGCTTTTTTCAACTAAAGTCAGGTGGTCGTATCGCGTATTTTTAACAATTTTTTTTAAAAGAGCTATGTTTGCATATTTTTATAATAATATAATCTTAAAAATAATCCGTTGATTTGCAAAGTTTTATTATTATGCAAGATATTAATATATCATGTCTTGCATCATTGTTAAAAAAAAATTTTCTCTCATTTACTTACCCTAAAAAATCCAAGTTGGAAACATAGTTTTGAAAGGCTTTCAAAGCACAAATATGTTGCTTGTGTTATGGATTTGTGGTATAAAAAAAATTAAATTCAACCGGAAAATGGGAGGAAGATTACCTTGACCGTCATGTTCGAGGTTCTGGATGTAAAGCAGATGAATGACAAAATATAATTTATAGTTAAATATATATATATTGTTTTTTGCTTATAAAAAAATTAGCAAAGAATGGAGACTGGATTAGCCTAAAATCAAAGGTCAGAATATTAATTTACTTATTTCTTTCCAATTATCTAATGTAAAATACTAACTTTCCGTAACGATCTTACAAAAACTTTTGCGTAGAGCTATTAGTAAAAAATTCCAAAGTCGTCTTACCTCTACATATATATTTCGGGGACCTGCTAAGCGAACTACGATTCCCGATTGAATATTTTCTTCGTCCACCATGAACGATTGGCAATCAAAGATAAAGGCCCTCGAGACGAGCCCACAAAGATTTGGTCATTTTAAAATTTTGAAAATACCACTGAATACTATGTAATGTATAGCTAAAACAAAATATGATTCTCGATTAAATATTCGCTTCTCTCAGCTCTGACATTTTGAACAAAATAATCGTTCCTAAAGTAAGCGATTTTTGGCTGTGTGGAATATTCTAAAATATGGCAAACTATTGTAATGCATGGATATAAAACGACGATGTGTAATTATTTATTGGAAAATAAGAATATTTCATTCATTTATAATGTCCATTGCTAACTAAATATCATTGGTTGTCCAAATTTAGAAATAATCATCATCGTGCGGCGTCTTTATTATTATTTACAACAAATAGAAGAATGTCATTTCTACATCTATACTTTTTAGGAAGACAATAAATGATGCAATTATAAAGCATCCACTGAAAAATCTTGTGTTTCAGTTGACAAACGAAAACAATAACATAAATACGAATGAAGATGTTCTATTGGAAAAGAGTTAGATAAAACGCCTAAAAATAATCTTATATTGATTGCTAAATTGTTTTGTTTGGTTATTTAATTTCACAAGTATGTTTTTAACGAGAAAAATTCATAATCTCTTCTATTTGTAAAAAAAGACAAAAATGGTTTAAAATCTCAACTTTCCAAAATACCAATCATTGCAAATTAAAACATGGATGTTATACCTCTTTTTTTTTTTTTTGTGGAGATTATGAGGCATAAAAAAAGCGTAAAACAACAAAAAGGCATCGTGTTCGAGCAATAATTATTATTATCCGAGTTCAACAAGCCAATTTTGTTATGAGGAATAACTTTTACTTTGCATAATATTAGTTATCGCGTGGATTTTTAAAAGGCTGACGAACTCTAATTGATTATCTACTATCTGAATCTGAAATGTGTATATAGACGAATTGGGTTTTTACTTAGTACGCGAGGCTTGTTTTTTGTAGGTTTTTTTTTTGTTTTAAATATGAAGTTCACGAAGACAAAGTTATATATAGTGTGTATGTAAATTGAACGGATGAATAAAAAATTTATATATAATTTAAAATTGTTAATTTTTCTTTACTAATCTATATGCTTCACATTCCATTCTTCTAAAAAATGAACTTTCTTGTGATTATTTCCAAGATTCAAATTATTCTCACAAGTATTAGCAAAATTATGATAACAATAAGGTTTATCATCAATACTGTTAAATAAGTTGTAAATGATCGAAATATATGAATTTTCATGAAATCTAAAATTACTACCATCATGGCATATCAGTTTCAATCCAATAATATTTATCTTGAGATTTTTCCTTTATATTCCAACACACAGGATTATAACCACCCACTAATTCACCAGTTTCTTCAATTTTCATCATTACTATAGTGTGTTCAATATCATAACACTTTTGCTCAAAAACTTGTGAAAGCCCATCTTGTGTTACTTGTAAGATCAAGTTAATTTCCATATTGTTGTGAGTCATTTTTGTTATAAATATTTATTTTCCAATCAATCCAATTAGAAATTAATAATTTCATATTTAGGCTTAATAACTTTCTTCGGACCTTTTTGAAGTATAAATTTTGATGTAACATAATATTTCTTCTATCAAAAACCTTTATAAAGATTGATTTACCATAAAAATTTATAAATTAATGGAATAGTATCATCCAATATATTTTTGAAATCATCCTTATTATTATGCCATTCTGAAATTCCTTTTTCTAATGCTTCATTTTGTCCTATTCCCCATTGAACAACAAAATCCCAAATTTCAGCCTCATCTAATTTTAAATCATCTCTTTCCAATATGAATGTAAGCATCGATTTTTCAACATTTGTGAAATTAAATTTGATTCTGGACTTTCACAAATCAACTTTTTACAATATTCTTGAAACAATTGATGTTTTTATATAAAGGCAAATTAAATTTTGTAGAATCCATTCATTTTTTTCATCAATTAAAAATTTTTGTAAATCATCAACTATTTTCATTAATGTTTAGCTTCAAGAACTTTTAAAATTTCATTTAAATAAATTTTACATTGGTGAAATGTTTCCCTGTCATCCTCAGATCTTTAAAAGATTAAAGATCTTTCTTTTAGAGTATCGGAATGGAGAGCTTTAAAAACTTTTAACATTGTCCTGACTTTAATTCTACATCGTGATAATCTGATTCATTCAATAAATTTGTTAAATCATTTAAAAGTTTATTAAAATATTTTAACGGTAGAGCATTACTATTGTTAGGGTTTACAAGATTATCAAGCAAAAGTGTAGAAAGAAGCATCTTGAATTTTGTATAGTTCATTTTTAATACAAGATTGAAGTTGTCACGAAGGCATGTAACAAGTTATCAAATCATCACTTGTTTTATTACAAATAAGGGAAAATGCGTAATTATTAATTAATATTTAATATATAACTAATTAATACTAATATTAAAATATTTATTAGAAAAACTTTGATCCAAATTTAATTATAAAAACAAACACTCCTTTTTCAGCAATTATTTCCTAAATCACACTTTTATTTAAACAAAAAAATTGTTTTCATCACATAATGTATAGTAATAAATACTCTGCACCAACTTCACCCACTCTTTCAGCAAGGACTTCAAGTTCTATCACTCATTCAATTAGAACAGCCGAACCAATTTCCAATCCAAGCGTCATTCTTACTCGTACTGATATACGCTCTTCGATTGAAGCTTACGAACAACTTTTAGCAGCTGCCAAAATATATAGGAATCAATTGATGGCTCTTGCACAAGCTACAGCTAATTTTGGTCAATCCTTGGAAAGAATTGCTCATTGTAAAGGAGCTTTGGAAAGTGGTTAATATTAAATTTAATTTATCATGAATTTATCATCAATTATGATTATTTTTATTTATGTGTATGTATATATATATATATATATATATATATAATACATGTATTAATTAAATTGACTATTATTAGGTTCTAGTTTTCAAGCTGCTGCTGGTTTACATTACCTTACATCAAATCATCAACAACTTTTGGTATTTATATTATACATGTTTACATACGAAATATTATTAGTAGTGAATATTATTTTTTTTTTAATTAATAGTTTAAATCAATATTTTATTTTTTAAAAAAAAAAAAAAAAAGAGCGATGCACTTTACAAAAATTTTGAAATCCCACTATTGGAAAATCTTGATATGCATAAATCAACTGTATTTGCAAGCGAGGAAAATTATGATAAATCATTAGCAGAGATGAGTAAAAAAATTAAAGAAACAGAAGCAGAAAATTTACGAATTGGTCGTAAACGTCAAAGAGGTAAAAAAAAAAAAAAAAAAACAATCATGATTTAAATGATTTTTTTGTGTTTTATTAATAATAATAATAATATAAAATCTTATTTGATGATTAGATCTTACACAATTTCGCCATGTATGTATTTTAATGATTATAATTTGTGGGGAAAGATGGATTTAGATTATTTGTAAAAATGTTGACTTGATCTAATTTAATAATTTTTCCTTTTAACTCATAATAACAATAATAATAATAATAATAATAATAATAATAATAATGTTATTATAAAGGCTTTACAAGATTTGACTAGACAAGTGGAGGATTTAGACCGATTAAAAGCTGAATATCACAGACAAACATTAGAAAATGAACAAAATAATCTTAAATATATTCTTTCAAAAGTCTCAACAGTTGTTAAAGCTGAAGTAGATATTTTTGATAGAATATCTAGTAAAGGTTTAGCGGATCCTTTGTTAGAAGCTGTTAGTAATTAATCAATTAATTTGTTTCGTCCATTTCATTTTAATTATTTATTTATTTTTTTGATTTTTTTAGATGACAACACAAAGCCCCGATCCTTTTTGTACGTACCAAACAGCAGATCAATTTTCTGAAATATTTAGCATTCTCCCGCCAGTTCCAATTATCAATAATACTGTTGACATTTCGAGTACAACTACATCAATATTAAATGATGGTTTTCAAACTCACAGTAGCAAGAATAGTTCCCAAAAGGAAGCTATTGATGAAGAAGATGGCGATAGTGATGAAGCTCAAGGAATCTTTAAAAGCGTTATTTCTTCACATTATATTCAGTCTCAAAAAATTTTCTCTGATGTTAACAGTAATGATATTGACAATAATATTAAAGTGGTGGTGGAGGAGGCAGAGGAGGCAGAGGAGGTGGAAGGGAAAATAGGGGCAGAAGGAAAAGAAAGCAATGATGAATTTGGGTCGGAAGATGCCAAAAGCAAACAACAATACACAACTATTACTACTACTAATCCTAATAATATATTATCAAAATCATCCTCATCATTATCATCATCATCGTCGTCATCATCATTACCGTTGTCATCATCACCATCACCATCACCACTATCATCATCACCTAACAAACACAATAATATTAATATAACAATTAATTCAGAGCAATCATCCATCAACTCTGTTATATCCCCATTTGATCAACACTTTAACAAGTCAAATAAAAGTGTAGCGAACATTCCAAATGATGCTGATATATTAAATAATAAAGAGTTTAAATTTGAAGATGGTGTGATCGAAAATTCGTCATAATTGTTGTTAGTAACAAATGAATTAAAAACATTTTGAATAATAATAATGACGGTTAGCAATAATATCCTTCCAAGAACAATATATTTATATATTTATATCTTTAATTAATTTTGTTTTATATTAATATAAAATTATTATTATGTTGATTTAATTATTTCATTATGAAAGGCGTATTTAAAAAAAAAGCAATATTTAATATATATTATATTTGTGTATTATTTATTTAATTTTAATTGTACAAAGATTTTTTAGATAAAGAATGTTTCCAATTTATTTTTATTTAATGAAAAACCCATTTATTGAGCGTTTATACATTAATTTTTTTCCTTAAATTAATTAATAAATAAATAAATACTACCACAAACAATAATAAAATCTATAAACAAAAAATTAAAATAAATAAATAATCATTTATAAATATATAAAAGTACAGTTATGATTTTCTTTTGTCAAATGTTTCTTTTTTTTTAACTATAAATATTAATCTTCATTTGCTTTAACAATTCACTTGCTTTTGGGTGTTTATTTAAAGCCGCCAATTTCAAATATTTAATTCCTTCTTTTTCATCTTTTGTAATATCAAGTTTTCCATTAATATACACATCACCTAAACTATATTGTGCTGTAGAGTTGTTATTGTTAGCAGCCAATTTAAGATATCGAATAAATTCTTCTTTGTTAAAATTGGCTTTATTTTCAATCATTGAGAATGCATATCTTAATTGTGCATCAGGAATACCTCCATCAGCTGCTTCTTTAAACAATTTAGCTGCTGCCGCTTTATCTTTGCGACCACAATATCCTTCCCACAAATAATATCCTTTCCAATATTTAGCTTTTGGATTGTTAAAATCAGCATGTTTTTGAAAACATGCCCATGCTGTTTTGTGATCTTTTGCTTTATGAGCTTTAATACCATCATCAAGCGTCATGGTTGTACTCGATTGGTGTAATTTATTTAATTGTATACTGCCATCTTCTTCACTTATGGAAACAGGTTTCTTGCCTTCGTTTAAAGATCCATCAAAATCAATAGATTTTGATGGGCCTAAACGTGATTCAGCAACAGGAGGAGGGTATTTTGAATGTAAACGATCCAATTCCAAGAAAATTATCTGAAGTAATGATCTTGATAAAGGATCGGCTTTCCATGCTTTTTTTTTTGTTGTTTTGGTAAATATTTGCAAATCAATAATAATAATAATAAGTTAAAAATATTAATTTCAAATAAATAATTTTGTTTATGTGTAAATTATCAATCTTACCTCCTTTTATTATTTCAGCATATTCTTGTTGGAGATTTTTGGTTTCATCATCTACATCATCACCAAATTGTATATTTTCTCTACCACCAGCTAATACATGTTCCTTAACTTTTGTCATGTCCCATTTTTCATAAGGCACTACTTCAAAAGCAAGTTCCCAAAGTAACATACCAAAACTGTATATAAGCAAACATAAAATCATTAAAATCATTAATCAATAAATTACTGAATTATAAATATTGATTATTTTAAAAATTTATACCTGAAAATTTCACATTTAAAGTTATAAGGTTGTTTTTGTTCATATCTCAATTTTTCTGGAGCTAGCCAATGAACAATTTCAGTCATATGTTTCATATCAGTAGTTTCACCACTGATATGACGAGCATAATCAAAGTTAGCAATTTTTGTTTTTTGATTTTTGTCCATCTTATCAAATAAATGATATATAATATTTAATAATAATATTTAATAATAGTAATAATGTTTATTGATAATAAATTTTAATTACCATAATATTTTCACAACGAATATCATGATGAAGAATTTGGCATGAATGCAAAAATGTAAGACCACGACAAATTTCAAGAGCTATTTCAACTTTAGTGCGCCATTTAATATCATATTCCTCATAAACTTTCTTTAAGCTACCCAATTCTGCCCATTCAAGCACTATTACCGTTGCTTTATCAATAGTTGAAAGACCATAAAATTTTATTATATGATCTGACTCACGTAGCTTTCCTAAAATAGTGAATAGTCCTTGTGCCTTTTGATATTCATGTGAATTTTCCTCTTCATTGGGTATTGTGACAGACTTACATGCAACTTCTATTACTTTTCTCAAAGTTTTCTTAACAATATAAGGTGATTTTCCTCGTCGATCAGTTTCTTTTGGATACGTAGGATCTTCTAACTCAGATGGTAATACTTGAACTGCTTTAATGGGATTGTCATCAGGTGGTGCAGATTTATTATTTCCAAGTGACTCAACTTGACCTTTTATAATCATAACTTCTTGAACTACTGCATTAAGTTGTTGTTCGTTATCAATAATGCCACCATGAATAGTTTCTAAAAACTGATTTTTTTAATTGAGAAAAATTAGTAGTAATAATAACAATAATAATGATAATGATGACAATGTAATGATAATATATATAATAACCTTAGACATCCCATTAATATCTTCCTTTAAGCTTTTTTGATCAATTTCACTTTGTCTCTGAGCAGATACAGTTAATGCGAAATGTAAATCATGCACTACAGTATCAAATTCATTGGTAAGTGTTACAAATTTTTCTTTAACGTTATTTGCATTAAGATATTTTTTATATCCGTGAAGACGAGTTACATTATCAAGAAAATCTTTTACTTTTCTCAAAACATCAACAAGGCGCTCAAAATTGTTATAATATCCCTTATCCTGAAATGTTTTTTGATTTTCTTCTTTTCTTCGTTGTAAAGTTTTAATTGATGCTTGAAGAGCGTCTATACGATCAAGAAAAGCATCGCAAATTTTTTTATTATATTGAGCATTTTCATATATTTCAATAATCTGCCCTGCCAAATCAGTCACAAGGCCTATCAGCGGAACAAATGGTTTAATAGCTTCACTAGCTACATTAATTGTCTGTTGGACTATATCTACATTGCTGCCAACATTTCGAGTAACTTCTATTCCAGTAGTTAAAACATCTACAGCAACAGAATAGGATTCTTTTTTTATAGTCATTAGTTTTTTTAATTATTTTTTTTAATATTAATTTTGTAGTAATCGAGAGCCATTTTAAACAAAACCATATTGTTACACGCATTTACTTAAAAAATTCAAAATAGGTTTTATTTATTTTACCAATTTGGTAAGATTTACTCGATTTTGAGTATATATAGTAAATAGACAATTTACACTTTACTAGATATGGGAAATCATCCGCATATAGTGCATGAAAAGATAGATTATCTAGACAAACTTGGAAAGGATATACTTTAATTCAGGATATATATAGTAATGGACATGGTTCCTATTTTTGTCCATTATTATTATATATTATAATATGGACTGGGTTCAAAAATAGTCAACCAATCTTGTAATTCTTAATAAAAGTTTTCATAATACATTCTTACCAAATAACCTCAAGATGTTTCACCATTAAAATATATTAACAAATGATTTAAAAAATTTGTTGAATAACTTGGACTTTTATGATATGGAAATTAAAGTTGGATGACCAAGATGATGTTTAAAGTTCATTCCAATATTTTTAAGGCAAGATCTTTCTATTTTATCAAATAATTGGACTAAAAAATATCATTTTATTTTATTTGAAAAAGAAAATCTTTCTCCTAAATACTTTATGTAAAATCAAATCATTTGATAATTCTGCTAAAGTTTATCCTTTTATTATATTAAATTTTTTTAAAAAGTATGTATGGAATTAATATAGAGCTTCTTGAATTAAATTTTAATGAGTTGATCAATGATTTATTTAATTAATGAAAAGAATGTATGTTCAATATTCTTGATGTAAACTGAACAATTGAAATTTTATGTAATAAATTAATTTGTGGAAACCAGAATTGTTCCAGAAAAGAAAGGAATGTAAATGAGCATAAACAAGCAATGTGGGAGTTTGTTAATGAGCCTCTAAATACTTTTGAAGACATCTTACTGAAAGATACCTAATGATATTGCAAAGAACTGAAAAACAGTCTTTATGTCTGTATTGGAAAGGGATAATTTAGAATCAGAGGAAATTGATGTTTGTAATTGCATTGCTCAATGGGGAATAGGACTAATGAAGAAGTAACAAAGAAAAAGGTTTCAGAGTGAAATAAGGTTGAAAGTGTTGAAAAATATATTGGAGGATGTTATTACACCAATTAGATTCCTTAATCATAAAATCAATCCTTATAAAAAGATTTTTGATAAAGAAATATACAAAAAACTTCTTAGATACTATATTGGATATGAAAAATAGCAGCCTAGGTTATTTTTTCAAAAAGACCCAAGAACAAGAATCAGAAAAGGAATATTATTAAATTCAAAATTTAAAGCATTTAATTCCTGGTTGAGTTGATCAAAATAATGATAAAGTAAACTATCATATAATTTTTAGTTAATCTCAAGATGGCTCTTCAATGGCAAGAAATATTAAATTATAGTATTAGTGTGAATTATATATCCAGTTTGTTGAAATATAAAAGAAAAGTCTTCAAACAAAGGGTATTTTATTGAAACAGATCAGTTTTATTTTTAAAATTGATGAAAACCAACATGGTAGTTCAATATTAAAAAATATTAAGTCAAAAATCCTAAACATGCAATTATTCATAATAATCATATAAAATTTCATAAAATTTTTGTAGTTTATGCCTATTAAAAATGTGCCTTATTGTTTTATAATTTTAATGACAATAAACGTGTTTAAAGTATACAATTAATCTTACCTTGTACTTTTGCCCTGGTACTAAACTTCGTGTAACTTTATGACTTTCAGAAATTGAAAAATTTGTCTATTTATAGTTGGTTAAACTAATTTGGTTTTTTCGTCTATAAAATTTTTAAAAATAATTCTTCAAAATGTCTAATAATAACAGTTTCTCATCCTTGGAAAAGATTACATTCTTATTTAACGACCTTAACATTAATAACACCCTACCATTAAAATATTTTAATAAGCTAGTAAATGATTTTTCAAATTTGTTAAATAATTCAGATTATTATGATGTTGAAATCAAAGTTGGAGTGGAAGAGGATAGCAAAATTTTCAAAGCTCATTCCACTATCTTAAAGGCAAGGTCTCCATATTTTAAGACGGCTTTATCTCGAAATTGGATTAAAAAATCTGATAATGGTAATATTTTTTTTGAAAAAGAAAATATTTCTCCAAGAGTTTTTGAAATTCTTTTAATGTAAGTTAATCCAAGCAATTTGATTTATTAATAATAGTTGAATACAATTGTTTAATAATTATAATAATTTATCTAAAAATTTTTTTTTTCTTGTTATTTATATTTTTAAAAGATATATGTACAATGGAATTATTAATATTGATAACCTGGATGTAAAAGAAATTTTAGAACTTCTTGAAGCATGTGATGAATTAAATTTTAATGAGTTAATTGATGATTTACAAAATTATTTAATCAATGAAAAGAATGAATGGGTTCACCAAAATTTTATTTACATTTGTAAAGTTTCATCACGACATCAATTGTTCAGATTACTTCAAGATTATTGTAATAAATTAATTTGTGAAAAACCAGAAATATTTTTAAAATCAAATGACATTGCAACAATTGAAAAGACAACAATTATATCTATGTTAGAAAAAGATGATTTAGAATTAGAAGAAATTGATGTTTGGGATTATATTATTAAATGGGGAATAGGACAAAATGAAGAATTACTGGAAAAAAAGATTTCAGAGTGGAAAAAGGATGATTTCAAAGTGTTGAAAAATATATTGGAAGGTATTATTCCATTAATTAGATTCAGTAATATTTCTTCAAGTGATTTTTATGAGAAAATTAGACCATATAGAAAAGCCTTTAATAAAGAAGTATATGAAGAACTTCTTCAATATTATGTTAGTTATGAAAAATGGCAACCTAAGTTACTTCTTCAAAAAGGTCCAAGAACAAGAATCAGTAAAGGAATATTATTAAATTTAAAATTAAAAGCTTTGATTTCTGATTGGATTGATCAAAATAATAATGGTTATAATGAAAATAATATACCTTATGATTTTGAATTAATTTATTGTGGAAGTCAAGATGGATTTGCAAGATCAATATATGAGCAGAAATGTTATAATATTGAAAAAACTATAGTGTTAATGAAAATTAAAGAGACAGGTGAATTAGTGGGTGGTTATAATCCAGTTTGTTGGAACATAAAAGAAAAATCTCCAAATCAAGAGTATTGGATTGTAACAGATAAAAGTTTTATATTTAAAATTGATGAAAATCAACTAAATAATTCAACATTAAGTAGAGTCAAGGTGCCTAAACATGCAATATATCATGATAAACAAATTGTTCAATATACTATAAATGATATAAAATTTAATGAAATTACTGTAAATTTCATTGATTTAGATCTACGTAACAGTATTAACAATGAACCTTATTGTCGTTATTATTTAGATAGTTCTTATAAAAATAATTTGAATCTTAGAAAAGTTCAATTGTTAGAAGAATGTGCAGTATATAAATTAGTTAAAATATAACTTCAAAAAATTTTAAATATAATACTAATATTAAATATCATTACTATCCCTTAAATGAAATTCCATCCATATATGGACGGAATTGACATTCCACTTTTTTTTTCACAAATAAAAGTTCTTCATCTTAACTCTGAGCATTATATTTACTAAGTGAAAAATGATTGTGAAAACCATTTCTATAAGCTTGTAAAACCTAAATATATAGTCATTTATGCACTTTTCCAAAAATATTCTTTAGAGTGAATTTCCAAAAAGAACTAACATATTATATGAAGCCCTGTTTCTCTTTCTTTCACTAATAAAACTTGTCTGTTTTTTTTTTAGTAAAATAACACAAGTTCAATATACTTGGTAAATAAAAAAAAATTTAAAATTACATGACTTTAAATCATAAGACTTTAAATTGTATGACTATAAATTGTATGGTGTAAATTGCATGTCTATAAATTGCATGTCTTTAACTCTAATGTACACAATAATACCAAATTCAAGTATAAAATCCATCATAAACTGGCTTTTTACATTAATTTTTTTGATTTTCCTCAAGATTTTTAAAATAACAAAAACAAGAAAAAAAATTTTTAAACATTTTATTTTTAATTAAAAATTTACAATGAGCTCAATTGAACAAAATATTTTCAAGATGTTTCAACATGAAAATGATGAATCAGGCAGGCTATTATATTGCCAATATTTCTAGAAGATCACAAGAATTGATCAATAACCTAGTAGGACGCAGTATATATATACTGCGTCCTACTTACGTTAGACTGTTACCTACTTATGATTAGACTGTTACCTACTTATGATTAGACTGTTACCTAATTATTTTTGGGTACCCGTTTTGGCTTGATATTCACGAATTCGTTGTCATTTGGGTTATGATTTGACCCACAAATTCGTTGTCGTTTGGATGACAATTGATCCACAAATTCGACGTCATTTAAATGACGATTGATCGAAAAAATCGGTCTCCGTGATTTCAGTCTCCGCCATGTAACATTCATGATCATCGTCAACATGTGTAGACGGTCGCCTATAAGTACCACTCTTGGAAAATACCATATCTATGCCCGAACCAGGCACGTAGTGCCTTAGCTTTCTGGTTAATTCCTCTATGAGGGCCGGGTTTGAGGCATGTAGTGCCGAAATAGTATTCATAATCTTTATATGGTGCATTTGAATACCGATTAAGGATGAGGCACGTAGTGCCGAATCGTTATCTATTATGTTATCTTAGAATGAGGCACGTAGTGCTGAATCGTTATCTATTATGTTATCTTAGAATGAGGCACGTAGTGCCGAATCGTTATCCTATTTGGTAACTCAAGGATGAGGCACATAGTGCCGAATTGCTATCTATTATGTTACCCGAGGATGAGGCACTAGTGCCGAATTGTTACCTCACTTGGTAGTACGTAAAAGCACAATTTTTCTTATCTCTTTCCTTATAATATTCTACCTTTGGGTATACCGCAAGTATGATATGTTTTGGCTCCCTAGAAAGCTTTCTCGCATAGTTGATGTTTTTGAGTACTACCAATTTATGTAAAAATTCGTCCTATGCTTTGTCATATTACTATCGAAAAATTGGATCATACTTTTACGTACTACCGAATCAAAAAATTTGTTTACCACCAGTAGTACACCAAAGTATAATTTTTATATATTAATATTTTTCTAATTATACCTTGACATACTACCACGAGTACGCTATGTTTTACGTTTCTGGAAGTCTTTCTTGTATAGTTGATACTTTGACACCCTACCGATTTGAAAAAATTTGGTCTTTTGCGTACTACCATATCAAAAATTTTAATTGCACATCACAAAAACCCCGTGATTCAGCTATCTTGGTATTATTTTCGATTTGAATTTTTTTTCCGCATTTGTTGTAAGAGGCAACAAAAATTCTCTCACCTGGAATGAATGATTAGTTGAATGTAACAATATACCTCTGGCGGGAGGTACACTACTTAAATAGATCATTGATTGAATTAGTTGGTACATCTTGAGCTAGTATCGGTGATAGGTATCGAATCAAAGAGCTCTTGAATTTCATTGACTAATTTTGGTTTATATGGTGGAAGAATCGGAGCTCTCGCGCTCTTTTTTCCAGTAATTTTGGTTATCTGAAGATTTGTATTTTAATATAATAAAAAATGTCTGATGATTGTACTTGTCTATTCGGCCATGAGCCCGGTGAAATTTGTAGAGGAAGCAGTCCAATACCTGAGGAATGTAGTCATTGGAAAACTACAAGAAGCATGCCATGTAAAGTATGCGGTAAATTGACCTTTTCAACTTCTGGTCGATGCCTATTGCATATTAGAAGGTACTATGATAAACTTCGATTAAATGTTCGAAAACCTGATATAAAACAAGTGATGAAAAAAAAATAATCGCGTGAATGCTATTTAGTCATGCTCCGCAGACTATGAATAAATCTGATGTTACCTATCCAAAAACATATCGTTAAATGGTAGGTCAAGGTGTAGTCTTCTGCCATTTTTATATAATATATTTCCACACCCTACTAAGATACTTATGTGTCTTTAGACACTAGCTCCGCTATATATTATTAATAATATTTTTTTTCGTACATGAATAAAGTTCAAATAGATAGTCTCAGTTATCCGATCCACGTATCCAGTAACCGATCATGTTTTTTACTTGTATTCCATGTACGTCTCAATACCACGAACCACATAACTGCGATAATTAATAGAATAAGACAAATATATGCTGATAAAGGTGACATCAAAGTACTTGCCACAATGGGAATCGCTCCTATCCCTCCTATCGGAATCTGGGGATTCGATTCAATCAAAGAGGGAGTATGTGTCAAAGACACTGGGCTCTACCCATAATTTTCCTGTTGTGCAAGGTACGGGGCCACGTTTTTTATCTCCTGGGTTGGGAATATATCTTTATTAGTTTTGCTAATATCGATTTCATCACTTACCTTGGGAATAATCTCAATATTTACTCTCGGAGATTTGGGTATAGGAGTACTTTCATCATCAGTGTAATCCGGTATAATAGTATCAATTTTTCCAGCTTGATCCATATTTTTTCTGCGTACAAAATATTTACTGAGATCAGTACTACCCAAAGATATATTATCAGACTTAGTAATATTTTTTCCGTCATCTCCACCAACTATGGGTTTCGATATACCCTCCGATTTCAGACACTCAAGCTCATTAACTTTCGATTCCAATGAGCTCTTTATATGATCTAATTCAGCTATTTTAGATTTGAGAGATAAATTTTCGGATTCTTTTTTCAATGAGTCATTTTGAATAGAAATTACATCTTCCTGAGCTGAAGACAACTTACTTTCCAATATTTTAATCATAGATTCAAGCGATCTAATTTTTTTGGATTTGATGGCATTCTCAGCATTAGATTCTGTAATAGAAAGTTCTTTACGAATATTCTTGGAAGTAAGATCAGCATTTTCAATCTTTAATCGCTTAGTCTCATTAATGAGTTCCGAAGTATGGGTATATAACTTCTGTTTCTCACCATTAACATTATCAAATACACTCTCCCATTGCTTTCTTTCCCGATTCCATTCCTTTCTCTTCCTATCAAATCCCTTTGCTTGTTTAAGGTATCTAGCGTGTAATGCTTCGTTACAATTATTCAGCTCGGATATGGACTTTAAACTATGATGTAAAGATTCTTCGAGCTCTTGCTCACGCATATTGCCAAGACGATAACCTTTATTAGAGTTAATATCTCGTAGTGTATGTACATTAGCCATAATAAAAAAAGATATTAAAGATTAGTTATAATTGATAAAATGGGACGCATACATAAAGAATATGTGTCTTTGACACTAGCTCCGCTATTATAGTGCTAATGCAATATACCTATCCGATGAGGCTATCAAAGAAATTAAAGGATCGCCAGGTAAGATACCTGATGCTGTAAACAACAAATAAGAAATACTAATACTACCAACTGGGATAAAGAAATCGAGAATATTTATGACTTATATGCGGAACTTCCATATTAATAAAAACTAGCTTCGTTAATAATTTCTATAATTATCTAATAATATTTAATGTTAGATATCGTAGACTATTAAAAAATAATATTAAATATTGTTGAATTAGGTTACATAGCGAATATTTTTATCTATATTTCAATTTATAGCACCTTATATTTCTCATTTATCTACAATAATATATCGTTTTTTATCATTCTAAAATATTAAATATTAATTTTTATCATTAAATATTATTTTTTATTATTTTAAATATTCAACGAGAAATCAAACTATGGATACCCCATATCTAAAATCTTATTATCGACGAGGTTCTACATTTCCGAGTTCTAAACAAATAGAAACAATTAGAACGCTCAAGGGGAAGGTTCCCAAATATAGAATAATAAGAGATTTCCATATTAATGAAAATCGAGTTAATGATATATGGGAAAGTCATGAACGTCAGCAACAAATAATACAAAATACTATTTCCTCTGAAATATTACCTATATCAGATACGAAGTATCCTGCTTCGCAGACAATCTTACCTGAACATCTGGAATCTACTACCTCCCCCAATACAGAAATAAAAAAGAGAAGTTCCAAATCTCGGTCTAAATTTGTGCGTATATCTGATCCAATATCTAGTGATAACGTCGATTCTACAGAAAAAATAAGTGGGGGTGATACATGTGAAGCAAGAACACTTACGTGTCTAAATAACATTCCTAATACAGATATAGTTGCCCAAATTGAGCGAGAAATAAAAAGAAAAGATAAAAATATAGCTAATAGTGCTCGCATAATGTCTACTACTTAATCTATATCGACTTTATCTGCAACAGACACAATGATATTTCCGCATTTTACTTGCAGAGCTTCATTACAATTATTAAGTTCTGTGATCGATTTAAATGCATTATAAAGACTTTTCTCATATCTCTCGCAATTTACGCTTTTTTTTTTTTGTTATCTCCGATAACTGCTCCGCTAATGATGAATCGTCAGAATCTAGGCTAAAACCCGCAGGAGCACACCACTTTTCGACTGATATACTGTCATCCTTATCACTATCCATCTCTTGAGAAAGTTGATCGGATATCAATGGCTTATCATTCTGAGATGCAGTAGCACAATTTACTTCAAGCTCATTTTCAACCTTGTGCATCGTAATTGGAATGTAAAAATCTTTCCCGTTGCAATCGATCCTCAATTGATCCTTATCTCCTAGTATTTGATATTTGTGACGGTAAAGGAAGGGATTACTCAATATAACCATAGACTTGTCATATTCAATGACTGCAAA